ATTTTGTTAATTACTATAGAATTATATTAGATAATTAATTGCTTAATATAATTTTATATATAGTAATTAACAAAATCCAAGTTCGGATTTTGTTAATTAACAGTAAAATTAGCTACATAATTAGCAAAATTCGAATTCAGATTTTGTTAATCTATTATATTGACAAAAAAAATTCATGCAATAAATTATAGATATAAACTATATCTGTTTAAAAATTAGATAATTCTATAATAGATTAGCAAAATCTGAACTTGTATTTTGTTAATTATTAATTGTTTTAAAAATATAGCTAATTTTTTTTTAATTTTTTAGATTATATTAACAACAATTTGATGTATTCATTATATCTAACAGTTATATTTAACATAAACAATCATATTAAACATGTTGAATTCTTTGGAAATAAAATTGAAATTAGCTACAAAGATAATTGTTGAAAATGATTTTATTTTTATAAAATCAGCAATAAAGAAAACATAAAATTTGCAAGAAAGGTTTCTTGCAAAATCAATGAAATACTCGAAGTAGGTCAGAATTTTTGTGAAAGTGCAGTAAGTGAAGCAAATGAGAACTTCAGCAAAAGCGAAGCAAATCAGAACCCCCATAAAAGCAAAGCAAATCAGAACCTCTATAAAAGTGAAGCAAATCTGAACCCTCATAAAAGCAAACCAAATTAGAACCCCCATAAAAGTGAAGCAAGGCTGAACCTCTATAAAAGTAAAACAAATCAGAACCTCTATGAAAGTAAAGCAAATCAGAACTCTCATGAAATTGATGCAAGTCTGAACCCCCATGAAAGCGAAGCAAGTCTGAACCCTCATAAAAGTAAAGCAAGTCTAAACCCCTATAAAAGCAAAACAAATCAGAACCCTTATAAAAGCAAAAGTAGCTACCCTAGTAAAAATGAAGTTTTTAAAATAAAATATGAAGAACTACATATATTTTCATTAAATAGTAAGTTTCATTGTAATTAATTTTATATTTAATAAATAGATTAACTAATAATATATTAATTAAATTAAATAAAAAGATGAGAAGAA